TGTCTACACTGTTCTTAAACGTACAATGTCAGTGTCAAAGGTTGAACTGGGAGTTAGCTAGGAATATTTAATAGACTTCTATTTCGCTACGAATTAAGTTAATATATTTAAATTTTTATTTCTTTGATAAAGAAACCATATGTTTAGTTAATTTGACGAGTTGAATTCTTTTTATAATTCTTATAATTCTATAATACTTACTTACTTACTTACTTACTAAGTAAGTAAATATAATTCTATAATTAATAAGGATCAATTCTTAATTAATTGATATTTATAATTAATGTTATTTTTTAAAAAAATAAATGTATATGAGCAATTTAGCAACTTTTATTTAATTTAAAGTCATCAATAGCTCATCTATATTTTTTAAACTTCATTAAAATCTGTACTATATATATCTGCTGAAAGTTTTTAAATCCACATTAAAAATTCTAAATTAATTAAAACTTTGAGCTTACTCGTATATTAAATTTTAAAAATTCAGTCACATTTTGAGAGTATAGACTATTTCTATGCCTAGACTTTTATTTAAATAGAAAATCTTATACATACATATATTATTAAAGGCTTTTAATTGGTTAGATGGCAAGTCATGCTGTTGATGCAGTGATATTTTTACATATAAGAATATGTAACAATGATATTCATTTTTTATTTGAGAAAGCCAACCTTTATTTAAAACTCTTCAAAATATACTGATGTCCATTTCATTGAAATCGTGCCCTGCCAAATTTGAAGCTCAGAGTCAGTGTTCCAAAGCCGTACTTGACTTGTATGTTGAAACTTTAAGGTTTTTGTTAATTTGCTATGAAAGTTCATTTTTTGTATTATATTTTTAGACTTTTAAATATATAAGACCTAATACGAACTAGGTACTAAGTGTATATTTCAGATATATATCAAAAAAAGTTTTTTTTTCGATTGACATGAAATGAAAAATGATATGATATGATTATTAATACGAGCCACAATCGTTTTTGTTGTACTAGAATTACTATATTAGGACTATTTGTACAGTGTAGTACAGTAATTTTGTTGTTGTATATGCTGCATTTAATAAAATGTATTTTTGTCTACACAAAAGTTAATTAATTTGGTATTACTTACTACCTACATATATTGAATATTAAAATATTTTTATATTTTATGCAGAATATATTATTTATAATTATGCACATTTAATTAATATTCTACGAAAATTGCTAATAATTTATTTAATATTTTCATTGCAGGTTTTCACACCAGTACGCATATATTTACTAGTAGCGAAAGTGCCCACAAAAGTAAGTTAATACACATGTCAATAAAAAGATATATATTAGATTGAAATTGTTTTTATTTATTTTTTAGATCGAGTGTCATTTTCACTATTTAGACATACAAGCGGTAGAGAGTAAGAAACCCACACATTTTTCCATCATTACAAATGATCGACCATATTCATTTGCCACAACAGGAGATGCGGGGAATTTTAGTTCGGTACGTTTTATAGCTAAAACTTTGTAATAATAATTTTTTTAGAATTTTTATTTATTATTATACCCTTTTTATTTTATATTAATGTATATTTTATTTAATTTTCACAGAATGCTGATGTCATTTTAACAGATTTAGCATCGGCAATAAAACAAATATTTCCCACAGTTCCTTTGAAGTACATAATAAGAAAAGTAAGTTTACATACTGTGTAATTTTTTTAAAGTTTTACAATTTATAATAAAAATTATATAAAATTTTTTAAATATCTCATTTTCCCCTTAAATATGGTATAATAACATTGTCGTAAATTTAAATATTTAATTAAGAAAGTGCCTTCAGGTTCTTAAGTCAATTTTTCTACATATATTTGTCTTTCTTATATGTTTAAAAACTTTATTTAATTCCTAATTGTATTATTTTACAAGACATAAACTACCTTTGCAACTAACATAGTGCCTTAAGTTTGAACAAACTTCATATAATGTTAATTTTTATCCTGAAAGAACCTTTTCCTCTACTCAAAGCTCATTTCACACAAGCATGTAACGCAAAATATGCATATTTAAGTATTTAGTAATATATGTTGTAGTAGCTCTTTAAGTATCGCAATATAAATATAAAACATGTTCTGCATGTTTTGTGCCCAGGGAGCACAAAATTCCATTTACATACATCCTCGGCTATGAAGTACTATGAGCGGCATAAAAGTAGATTTCCGCACATAATTTCGAGCATTAAGTAATGCATAAAGCCCATGCCGATACCAGTACAAATGCGTACATACAAATTCATGTGCACTAAAAGTCTGTAGTTTAATTAAAGTTTAATTCAATGTTTAAAAAGTTCAACGGCTTTTCACCCAATATTTGTAACGAATGATAGGTCATACTAAATTATGATAAAATATATATGTAATTACACATATGTATATATGGCCGTTTATATAAGTCATTCAATGAAAGAATAAATAAAAATGGAATAATATTCAATTTAAAGGGCTGTCATACTCTACCTTTATGTAACTGATATAATATAGGTTAAGTATTATATAAAAGTATTTCAGTTTTTAATTAAAAAGTGGTTCAAACTTTATTTTTCTTTCACCAAAAAAATACAAAATGATTTAACGAATTTATAATTTTCTTATAAATTCTTTTATATTTTATATAAACAAATAAAATATTTTTTATATTAAGTGCTCTAAATTTATTAAAACTTGGTATGAAATTCATCCACAACGTATCTTTTTTGAAATTTTTTTATAATTTTTGACATTAATTTAGTCTGGATCTTTCTACTGATTATTGCCTAGTTTGAAGTCTCTCAAGCTTCATATATAGTCAAACTTCAGACATTCTCATAAAGAACAGTCACGGCAGTTTGACAATTTTGGTAATCGAGTGTATGAAGGGATATTATGTAGAGAGTCAAATCTCCATCAACTCAAATCTCCATCAAGAATATATTTTTTGTGTAGATATACTCACATTTATAATAACTTACTCCTTAAAAGCATGAATTGTGACATTTGTTAGTAATAAACACTGTTTTGAATAAATTAAAGAGGTGCCGAAAGAGCTGTCATTGTGGCTCCATATAATCCAATTTTTTTAGATAAAAATTAAAAAATAAAAAAATAGGTATTGCAGGCAATACCTATTTTACATATGCAGTACCCATAATATTATTTAATTTATAGAATTAAACTAGTCTGAATCTTTCTACTCACTTCGTATACAAAGTTTTTGACATAGTTAACATATTGCGTAATGAATTCATCTAAGAATTGGGATAATTTCTAGTATTAATTTGGTTTGGATCTTGTCACAATTTACCGTCCACATACTTCACATACTGCGTCATCAATTAATCTGATATCTATTATCATTTTTGCTGTTAATTTGATCTAAATCATCTTATTGATTATCGCCAATTAATGTGGGTTTAACATAGTGTTCCAGCTACTTCACATACTAGCTTAAGATTCTTTATATTAATTTGGTAAATATAATAATTTAGACCGAGCCTTTTTTTTAAATCTTTGTTTGGAAGAAAAAAGAATGTTGCGCATAACTTATAGTATGCAGGGAAGATCTACAGTGGCTCTCAGCTTACTTCATCGAATACCAATTATAAAATTTTTTACGCTATTACTGAAAAACTATATCATCGATTAAAAATATTTAAATGCCATTTTTAAGGAAAAAAAATTATTATAATTTAGAATCTTCAAAATTACCGAAAATATTGTTTTAATAAATAAGAACACAAACTATAAAAATACTCCTATTTATTGCTTCAGCTTATTTCATCCACAAAAAGAAATTTCATTTGGTGCCAAAGTCAATACTTGGTATGATACCCATTCGCTCTTACCACTTCGTCAAGTCTCTTTGGCATTGAACCTACAAGTTTTTGGGTTATTTCTGGAGTAATTTTCATCCACTCTTGTATAATTGCCTTTTTTAAATTTTCTTTGTTGGAAATAGTATGGTATCTTGTCGAATGTTTTGTTCCAATATTGCCCATAAATTTTCAATGACATTCATGTCTGGACTCTGCGCCGGCGGTTTCATCATATGTGGGCAGTTCCAAATCAACCAAGACTGTACGATGCCGGCCTTATATTTTGAGTCGTTGTCTTGGTAGAAGCTAAATGTTTCAGAAATTCCCAGTTTCACAGCACTCTGGAGTAAATTTTTTTTCAAAACTTTGAGGTACATTGGTTTGTTCATGTTACTGTCAATAAACTCCAGATTTCCAACGTCAGCGGCTGACATACAGGCCCAAACTATAACACTTCCAACGCCATGCCTTACTGTAGCTTTTAAATTTTCTGTTTTGAGCTCAGTATTAGGTTTCCGCCACACGTAAGTCATGCCATCTGAGCTAGAAATATTGAATTAAGACTCGTTTGAGAATATGACGCTGTTCCAGAAGTCTAATTTTTTGTGGACATGCTACTTAGCATAAGCAAGTCGACTTCTTTGATTTTTTTTGCTTATGTACTGGCGACTAAGTGTAAATGATAATTTGGATGAAATAAGCTGTGAATAAAAATTCTATGTACAAATACGAACACAGTTCAGGAAATAGTAAGGTAAAGGAGTGAGTGAAGTTTTTATTGTGATTAGTCTAGGTCGGGTTGAAGAAATGTAGCCAATTCGATGCGACGGAGTTAAAGATCAATTGAACTCAAAGTGGTGATCAATTGAGAGATGTTTCATTGAAATATGACAACAATTGGGTTGCATCGTTGGAGGTTGGTTTGCATTTTGGTTGTACATTGGCAATTGACACATTTTTGCTTGACAGGTACCTGTTTTACAAATGTCTATATTTTGGCCTCAATTGGGGGCAGTTCTTGCTGTACGAGAAAGACTTCGCTCATCGCTGGAGATATCAGATGAAGGTCTATTGAGAATTTTGCTGCTATGCAACCATGGTCTCGAAGAGGAAAATGCATCTTAGTCTAATGCATCTAGGAGTAGCTAGGTTTACGTGTTTGAACAATTCGTCAACCTTAGATATTATATGTTAATATATTTATGTTATTTATTTTATATTCGTGATTGATTATTTTATCTTCAGGTATTACTTTGATTATTATATTTGTTATTATATATAAATCTTTAAAATGAGAGAACACTCTATTAACGATGTCAACAGTTCATTCTATCTGCTTAAATGTTTACAACAGCACGTCTAACGGTTTATAGAGTGGTCTTTCGCCATTTGTGTTATTATGCTTTTAAATTCCTGTTTTACTTAATGTTTATACTCTAATACATATATAGGTATATTTCGTTTGTTCTAAGATATGGATACCTTATTTTATTCAGCTAATCTGTAATGACAAATCACATCTTAAATTGTCTATGAAGATGTTTTTTATGTTTGTTTAAATAAATAGTCAAAACATCTGTGTTTGTCAGACAAATTTGTTTAAAATTTATTAATGAATCCGATGAAGTTAACATCAAAATATAATTGAATTAAATTATAACACTTTTAAATATGAAGATAAAAACTATTAGTATATAGTAGTAGCAAGCTCTATTTAAGTAGTTGCTCAAAGTTGTCTCGATCTATGTTGAAAGCGAAAAGTATTTCATTACAAAAAATGAATTATTCATGATTATCTGCAATGTCTTCTTAGCTTAATCTGTTTTCTTAAGGTTTTCTAAGTATTCTTTTAAATATTTTTAACAACTAATAAATGTAAACAAATATGTAAATATGCTTACATTTTTCCCACTTAACCCATTAACTTACAAAGCAACTTGTAACGTTAATGCTTAACCCACGCAAACGCTAATTATTCCAAAGGTGTTGAGGCTTTTTAAATAGCTTAACATAAACATGAAAACAATGGCAATTGCAACAACATTCAGATAAACAAATAAACAACAGCGACAACCAACAATAGCAACCTCATACCCATACATATGGTACTCTAGACGGCGCATTATTGTATTTTTGCCATGAGTACAAAAAACAATCAACAATGGTTCGTTCGCACATTTATTTAGATATTAAGAGAACTTAGCTTAGCTTTTATTTAGATTTTCCATTATGAAAACAAAATATTAAAATATATTTTCATAGAAACAGACGTCTACACATATATGACGTCATATGGAAGTACGAGCTAATAAAGGTAAACCCCTTTGTTAGCTTTCAAATTTATAGATACTTATTTTAACAAAAGTAATAGCAACTAAATAAAAAAGATATTATTATGAAAGTTAGGTCGAATATCATCACGTATGTATTCAAACATTACACGGAGATACAATTTTATTTATTTATAATTAAAACTATGTTTTTGCTACTACTGTGTGGGTTAAATAAAAGCAGTTCAGTTGAAAACTTTTTATATATCTTCATATAATATAGAATTTAATATATTATGTACTTATATTTAGTATAAGTAAGAGTTTACTAAGAAAGGTTTTGATTTGTTAAAAGTCTAATAATTGTCAACTAATGACATTTTTATTTTTCTATTATAATAATTAATATCCATACTCCTTTCACAGGCCTAACAACTCAACATAAGACAACAAGTTGGTAAAATAGTGTTTGCTAACACTTTTTAGGATTCGCACAACGTAAGACTTACGCATTAGTTCGAGGAGGGTTTCTTTAATGTCATGCTCTTGTGATTTTCGATATGCATCCACACCTCCACTTTTTCACTGCAATTTCTTGGTGTCTGTCTCTTTTTCTTGTCTAAGTATTTCTTCGCTTTAAGGACTTGAATCACGTATGACTCTATCCTTCGCCAGCTCTCTGAGTTCGCTCTCATATCATTTTTCACTAGGTGAGCCATCTATTACAGTAAAAGGTGTGTTCTGCGTCGTCATATTCTACGTCGTCATAAATGCAGACGGGTACATCAGCCATTCCTTTGTGGTTCATTCCTTACAAAAATATCCATGTCCGGTCAGTATCTGAATGAGATAGTAATTTGTGTCTCCCGATTTTCGTTTCAGACAGATAATTATATTTAGTATCAATCTAGCTGTTCATCTTCCTTGAGTTCCATTTTTGTTTACACATCTCGATGATTTGCACCTGATCTTCTCTTACTAATTGTTGAGTATAGTATATTATAGAATTATATTACAGTATTATATTATAGTATTATATTATAGTATATTTTGTTGTTGTATAGTCCTTGGCACTCCCTTGAAGACCAGTTGGAGTTACACTTGCTATTACAAAAACTGTTTCCGACGAGACAGTGCAATACGCTGATGTGATACGTAGAGCCGCCCTTCTATGCTACGCTATTATTTTTTTTCTACGTGTTTCGATATCGAGTGCGTCTGCCCAGATTTCGCTACCATATAGCAGGATGGCGATTCTGTTGCCATCAGCAATTTTCGTTTTTCCGCAACGGGTCCTGTTGTATTAGCCATTAGTTTGCTTAAGGCAGCATTTCCTTTTGTTGCTATCTCTACTACATATTTTATTTGCGCTCATTGAGTCTTTTTCCAAGGATATCGGTTGTATAGTTATGTATTATTATATAGTAGTATTATTTGTTTGTTGTAGTATACATTTTAGTCTATAACGCGAAACCTATTGATAAACTGTTTGCTATGATCTGAGAAGTTTTGCTTATTTTTGAGAAATCATTAACAGAACTAGACAGAATTATTATTATTATTTCTATTGTAGGCTCATTGGATTACTTACGACATTTGAAATAAATTTTTATAAAAATTATAAACATATTAAATTATATTTTTGATTAAAATTTTCAATCGATTTTCAAACGGTTGAAAAAGAGATTGTGCACCATTACATTCACAAATTTCTTTTTTTTTTTTACCAATATGCGGGAATTATGGACTGTGGTCCTAAGCGCAAACTAATTCGCAGAAAACTTGTCTCAAAACTTAATCCAGTGTGTCTATCCATCTCACTGACCAATAACTTTAATAAATTTGCAGAATATTTAGTAGGCATCAATTAATACAAGAGCCCTCACAGCTATTCAGTAGTTATTGTTGTTTGCCTCTGGATCTGTAGATTATTAGGCTGGCATTGATTAATAAAAGAATCTACACAGCTAATTAGTGGTTATTGTTGTTGGCCTCGAAACCTATAGAATATTTAGCATGCATAATTGATAAACAAGTACCCGCAGCTCTTCATTAGTTATTGTTTTTGTTAATAAAATCTGTAGGATGAGTGGGTGTTAGTGGGTATTGATTGATTATGTTATGGTAGTCTTTAAACAAGTTTGTAAACCATATATCGAAATAGATCTTATGTATGCGTTAAAAGCTTTATATTTCGTAATGGTGATGGCAAGCTTACGCTTCAAATATTTTAAACTTTTTTAAATACATATCGCATTTTCTTAATTTTACTAAATATGTCTTCATTTGCACCTCCTTCCAAATAGGGTACAGTTTCTAATCAAGTAAAGTTTTCGATATCATCTAAACTCTACCCATTAATCAACTGTATAGTTGGTGGCGTAAAAGTACATATATATGTCAAAATTAAAAAAATACTTTAATAATTTTTTAATATGGAACTCATTAAATGTCTCCAGAGCGTATTTTATAATCTTTATCAATTTCTAAACTTTTTGTAACAAATTTCTATCGCTTCCGCATATTTATGTATATTTAAAGTATATGTTTTTCTGCAGTGTTCTATTTTCGTATATTTGTAACAATAATAACTTTTATAAGTTTAGTTTAACATACTTTTATCTATTGCTTGGAAATTGACTTGAGGCTATTCAATCTTATTATTGTAGTCCTACCAATACAAATACGCAAATATACACAAAGGTCAAATTTGCACATATCCACAAATGGGAAATAATGTCCTTAGAAACCAATTATAAGAAAACTTTGCACAAATGTTGACTTGACTTTGACTCACAAAATTCGTAGTATTAGAGCTAAGGGCGTGCAGTGTATGTGTGTAATTCCATCCATATTTTGTTTTAGGAATTTCTATATATAACTTTATCGTCTTATATACAAGCTGAATATATTTTTAATTAGTGGCATGTAGAGATATTTTATACTTGATTTAATCTAAGTGCAATTGTGAGCACAAGTATTCGCTAAGTAATTTAATATATTTTAACTACTTGTTTACAATTTTTTTTTTTTTATTTTTAATGTTATTTGTGTTTGTGTCTAATATTGCGATTTATTGAAAAACTTTATACTGTTTTACTAAGTCAACAATTTTTTCTGCTAACGATTGTATAACATCTAAGCTATAACATGAAACTCTAAGTTTTTGATATCTAAAAGTTTTAGTTACTTAAAAAGTCAATTGGTGTCTAGTAAAATAATGCCTTAAAAGTTTTCTTGTCAGTTGTATACAATAACATCAAAATAGTTTTGTACATGCAATAACTTTGTTAATGCACACTACACCCTAGTCAAGAGAATATTTGCATTTAAATATTACTCGTATATGGATAAACTTATTGATGCATTTAAAAGATAATTTAATTAATCCCAAGTGTTCGCAATGCTATTCCAAAATGATACTTACATTTAATTATTTGTTAATCATTTTTTGAGACTGGAAGTACCAAGAATCGAACTCGTGCCCTGCCAAATTTGAAGCTCAGAGTCAGCGCTCCTTACCCAACTGACTCAAAGCCGTACTTCACTTTTATGTTCGCACATTCTTCTGAAGTTTTGTTAATGTGCTGTGAAAGTTTTATTAACAATTTTATCATAAACCAGCTGTAGAATAATTGAATTAATTAATTAATTATATTTTTATTTTTAATTATTAAATTTCAATACTATCATAAACCAGCTATAGAATAATTGAATTAATTAATTAATTATATTTTTATTTTTAATAATTAAATTTCAATACTATTCTGTTTGTAGGGGCATTATTTGCTACATGATTTATATATTCTGTCATATTAATGAACCTAATCTAGGAACGAAATACGGAGAAAGCCATGTTAATGTTACTCCACGAGTTGCACGGGCAAGACCAAAATTTTATGAATATAAGTTGTAATTTAACATCATATTTTTCATTATATCTAATAGAAACTAGTATATTTCATAAAGAGGTTTTTCGAACAGTGGTGAACTATCATTGTTTATATATATGCAAATAAGAAACGAGTTGTATATTTTAATTCGATATATAATTTTTGTCATTAAAAATAAGTTTGGTAAATTATCTATGAGATATCCATCTTTTTTATAATTTTTTCAAAGATACCCCTGTGTTTTCGAAGTATGCACTTAATGTCTGCTTGCAACTATTTAATAACTATAATTGCAACTATTTAACAAATATCGTTCGCATACATCAATGATATCAAATATTTCTAGAGACATTTAACCCCAAAAAACTCCATTTTTGGAGATACTATAGTTATCGAATACTTACTTTAATTTTCATAGATTTCTCTGACAATATCTTATAGCACAGACTCTTGAAACCTGTGAAATCGTTGGCTAAGTTCCAAAGATGCTCTGTTAAGTTACCATTGACGGTGATATTACAATTTTCTTCATTTTTATATAAGTACAAGTCCATAAACAGCACCAAACATCGCATTTTCCAGAGTCTATTGGTAGCTGATAGTCCGATTGCGTTTGAATCTTTACAACAAAATCAAAAGATTTTGTATTTTTTCTTATTAAAAAATTTACTGAGTTGAAAGTGAGTACAATAATAATAATATCGGCGACCTAATATGTTAACTAATAAAAAATTTAATAAAATTTATACCTGTAAATAGAATAATGATCTTTAAAAAAAATAAGTTGCTGAAAAAATAGGAATGTCTACTTAAGCGAAATCATTTTTACGAATATTTTGGATATGAAGTGAGTAAAAGTAAAATTTGTTTTGAAGTTGCTGTATATCTCGCTTGTCTTGTTTAGCATTTCGTGCCAAAGCAGAACATTACCAAAATCCCGCAAACACTCTGTACTTTAGATATAGTACCCGGCGACTTTTCCAAATTCAAAAAGACATTCTAAGAACAAAATTTTTTAATAATAGATGCAATAACGATGAAATCACAGAGTTTCAGCTTATTCTTCATAGGGTGATCCAACAATATTTCTCAAACTGGAAACTACAATCATGTTATTGCATATTTAGAGAGGGAATACTTTAGGGATTGAGGGAAAAGATAATGGTTTCTTCCAAAATGAAATCGATGTTTTTGAAACAAATAAATGTTTGTATATTTATATACTAATATATGAAAAAAAACTTAAATGACCATTTATGCCACCTAATAAAATTAAAAAATTTACCTAATAGCTCTATAAAGAAGGTTAATCAGTTATACTATATTCTTCTTTTTAGCTTTTTAACAGTGTTCTTCAATTATAGGTTTTTATACGAATGGAATTTTTAAACAAATTTTTACTATGAAGTCTTCAAATTTAAGAAGAAATTCTAATACATATTTAAAGTAAAATATAAATATTTCATTTATTTTAAATTTACAAAAATACTCAAAAGTTGATTTATAAAAAAATAATTTAAAGCAAAACGAAAAATAATTTTTACTTTTCTTTATTTTATAGATTGATATACAACCACCTGAACGGGAAACAATATTTTCAGAAGAATTTCGACCCTCAGATCCGCGTAATGTTGGTCCTTGCGGAGGTTTTAGCACACAATATGCCTGCATGTGTGATTTCCATGGTGTGCCCTATAGGTTAGTATCTATAAGTGTAGCATCTATTGAAATATCATAATAATAAATATATCATTTATTTTATATTACAGAGAAGAGGTTGCCTGGGATATTGATACGATATATTTGTCACATGATACGCGCATACTAAATTTACGTGATTTCGATCATTTGGAACCAAAGTAATTATAATAAATAATTACAAATAATTAAATAATTAATTAATTATTAAATGTTTATATCATCATAGAGACTTAATGGCCATCGTTTCGGCTTTGGAATATAACACATTTTTTCGTGGCCTAAAAGCATCACATATGAGACTCTCAAACGAAACTTTAGAACGAATCCTGCACGTGCTCAAGCGTTCAATGTGGCTGGAAGAGCTACATTTGGAAGCCTTAGGTTTAAGGTATTTCTTTGTTTATTTATTATTTTAAATATATTTAGAAAATATACTAATATTATTTTATAATTGTTTTAGATCGGATTTTCTACATAAATTAGCTGTTTCTGTGATTACGAACAACAATCCCGCTATACGTACTATTGATTTAAGTCATAATTTAATCGAAGACAAAGGTAAATAATTGCTTATATATATACTTATTGTCTATTTATTTCATTACTAAATATATAACAATGTCAATATATACAGTAACCTAATATTCAATTTGTATGTATGTGCCCCAAAATATAATTTGTTATCATAAAATTTTGCTTTTGTAAATACAGTTAAAATACTTTATACTAACCTTAAATCCATTTAATCCAATTAAATTGAATTTTATTTGTAATGTAGGAGCAAGCTCATTGTGCGCCCTACTTGGAAAAATTGTGCAAGGTTTGATTTAATCGTTTTGTGTCAATCATTTAAATGAAATCAATCAGAAATATTTGTAAAAAATTTACCAAATTTTAAATTTCTTATTATCAATGCTTCAAGTCTTTTAAATAGAATTTTGATTTCAATTCTTTTAAAGCTTCATATATAGATTGTATAATTGTATAATTTAGATTTTATATTTTAGTAATTTTATATGCTACATTTTAAGGTCTTAAATATTTTTATCTGAACTACTACAATTAAATAAATTTGTAATGGCAGCTATTTATTAAAAGTTTTTAATTATGATTAGTAAATTGCATTACTATAAATAATGATTTATTCGATATTCGTATAGTTTTTGAACTCCTCCCCATAAATATTACTTAGTTAAAATATAAATATATTGGAGGTGAATATATGTAATATGAAATGTATATATAATATATAGTATAACATATATATAATATGTAATATAAAATATATGTATAATTTTTTTTATAATAATATATATTTAACATATATGTAATATATAATATTACATTGAGGCTAGTTGCACTTGAGCACTTTTACTTTCTATTAACTGCGAGATTTTCTTCATAACCCCTCTCTTCGCCTTGACTGGTTTATTGTTTATTCCTTCATCAGAGTAATCAATAATTGCCCTCAGATCTGCATATCTCCCCGAGGAGCCTGTAATCATGCTGAGACTCGAAAACGCGGTTGGTAAATCTGTCAGTATACGTAAATAATTGCAGTGCTCTATCGTTTATGTATTTTTTGATCGGATCAATCTTGAGGTCCCTGAAGATGTCATTCGTCCTATTGTATCATAATACCTTGAAAAGTCTTCTAGACGAGTTTATGTCGAGTTTTATTTATGCGTTGCCATTGTAGCTAATTAGGTAGAGAAACTTTTGGAGACTATGACTAATAAGTATTTTTAAAAAAATGTAATTGGAGACTTATGAATATAATTTCATAATGTTGTGGTGGCGCAGCAAACAGAAAGCCCTATATCAATACTTGGGAATAAGGAAAAGTTTTGAGATTTAGGATTAGATACAATTAAGTAATGAGAAAGCAAGCAGTTTTCGGTGGAAGGATATTTAGAGATTAAATCTAATTTGTAACGAGAGTTTAATGGCAATCTGGTTAGTTGGAGTCACAAATCAATAGAATATAGGTTATAATTCGTAATGAAACAATTTACAATAGTTAGAGAATGAAATAATATTTTAAAAATAATAAATTGTCGCGCTGCAATTTATAAACGCCAGGAAGAATCTATTCACTCCAATTGAATATATATCATGTTACTAATACGTAGTGACCTATCATGAAAGATAATACGTAGTGACCTATTAAAGGTAGTGTTATTACAAAGATACGAGTTTGATTAGAATACTGCGTTTTATGTAATATTTTATGTGATAATATTAATTCTAATACTAATACTAATTAATTTCAATACTAATAAATACTAAAAACTAATTTAGTACAAATTCTAATAAAAAGATTAAAAATGAATTAACATGTAGCATATAAAATAGCTGTTCCTAAATATTTTATTAAAAAGCGTTTTGGCTAAATTTAAAAATGAAATAAAAAATATATTTATTTTTGAAATTTATTATAACTTAAATTAACAACTAATGAGACTAAAAATCTTATTATCTCTAAATATTTGTATAAAATCATGCAATAGTTGTTTTTTAATGGAGCGGTGCAAACTTGTTTGAAAAAAAAACACATATTATATTTGAAAAAATATATTGGCAACGCTTGCAATATACTTCGGTGGAAACACTTTAAAAATTGAAAATGTAATTGGTAACTTTTTTCGTAATTAAGCGCATATGCGTTCCAAATAAAACACGGATAATTTAAATATGCCAAAACGCTTAAAACTTTGCTTGATAACTTAATATTATATATTATAGATAAAATATGCTTTTTTATAGAGTTTTTAACTAAAAATTTTTATTTTTAATGAAATTAAGAAGATATATCATTGGCACAACTTAAAACTCAATATGTATATATCCATTAACAACATTATAAAGTATTCTTCTTTAATTCATTATTTAACATTTTTGAATGTTTTGCCTTAAATTTTTTAAAATAATAAATTAAATAAAAAAACAAATATGTAATTAAATTGTACGCAAAATTTTAATAGGTGCTATACACCTTGCCGGTCCCATTGCCAAAGTATCCAAGGGTTTATGCAAATTAGCACTTGCACATTGTGGTCTAACATCGAAAGGAGTCAATCAAATGTCACATTCGTTATCTTTAAATCAAAGCATTTCGAATTCGCTCACATATTTAGATTTAAGTGGCAATAGTCTCAAGGATGATATTACTGTAAGTATTAATTAATTAATTAAACATATTTAATATAATATAATTTTTTTTTTGTTTTGTAGAATCTACATAACTTTCTGGCACAACCAAATGTTTTAGAATATTTGGATCTCTCTTCGACTGATATAACTTTAGAGAATGTAAGTATTCACAATTTAAAATTTTTTTAAATATACTTATAACCTATGAATCTTTTTTATTATAGTTATTTGGTGCCCTCTTACGTGGTTGTGCAACGCATTTAGCTCACTTAAATGTTTCACACAATTCATTTAGCACAAAAAAAGGCAAAGAGATACCACCATCGTTCAAGCAATTTTTTACGAGTACATTAAGTTTAAAACATTTAAATATTGCCGGTTGTAAATTACCAATGGAGGCATTGAAGTAATAAATAATAAATTTTAATTCCTTTTTTATTTAATAATATTATTTTATTTGTGATTTACAGAAATTTACTACTTGGCTTAGCATGCAACGAGTCAACAGCTGGGCTGTACTTAGATTTAAGTGGCAATACATTAGGTGCCCAGGGCGCACACGTTTTGGAATCATGCATACATGGTGTTCGTGTTCTTCAAAGTTTAGATATTAGTGACAATAGTAAGTACTAAGAAATAAGTGTAAAATAACAATTTAAACTATGCTGAGTTTTTTTTTTTAAATACATGTCATTCAGTAATTAAGAAAAATTTTGATGTAAAGTGTTTTAGTCAATTGATTTAAAAGCCTTGTTTCATATTTATGGTCGTAGCTACATCAAATAAGAGAACAAAAAAACATTTATGATTTATTCGACGTCCTTTTATCCTTTCAGCTCTGCTACTAAAACGAACATATCAATTGAAATCGTTTTACTTTTCTAGCAAATTATGATAAAAATACTTGACTCTGTCTCGTAAGATTATCGAACCTTTTTTGAAATACACAAGTAATTCAAACGAGAAGTCGTCGAAATTCTTAGAAGAAAATAGCATATTCTTTTGAAAAAAGCCATGGTTTCTTCCAAGAATTTGAAGGACTTCTCATTTGAATAATAATATATTTCAAAAAAGAGTGTGATGACCTAACGAGCAGCAAAGTCAAGTATTTTTATCCTAATTTGCTAGAAAAGTAAAACGATTTCACTTAATTTGTTGATTATAGTAGTGGCAGAGTTTCCTCTTCGATGAAAGGAACGTCGAATAAAATATAAATATAAATGTTTTCTTAGTCTCTTATTCGATGTAGCTACGATGTAGCTTATTTGCTAGAATCAGAAAGTAATAAGATTTCACTTGATTGGTTGGTTTTAGTAGGGACAGAGCTTTCACTTCGGTGAAAGGAACGCGAAATCGTCGATTTGTTACTACAAACCGGTTATGAAAATCTCAGTTTTAAGACTAACATGCGTGATTGTTAAAGCAGAATGTTTTTTGAAGATCTATGTTTGAGATATCCGCTAGGCTCCGTAGTTTGTGGATTTTCATATTATAAAGTCTTAGTCTTGTTAGGCTTGGACAATTCCAAAGAAACTGTTCTGTTATTTCTTTTTCTTCTTCTTACCTACAGCTGCTGTATATCTAGTTGAAATTTCTAGTATTGATCGGTCAGTGGTCTGTCAGTACTGTCAAGAAATTTGCTACCTCTACTTTGATTTTGCACAGTAAGGTTTTCGATCTTGATAAATTGTAGCTTGGCTATTTTAGTTTGAATTTTTCATATTCCATTATATTATTCCATTTATGTATTACTGCTTTTGAAAAATGACCACGGATATATTAATATTAGTATATAGTAATATTTGTTCTTTTGCTGAGAATATTTCTGATCATTTTTTTTTATAGTTAATCCACAATTTTATTTCTTTGTATTCTTGGAACCCTGGAATTCATATATATATA